AATTTAAAAACCGAAATCGATCAAATTGTCAGGCCGAAACCGATACCGAAAATGTTTTAATTTTTTAACATTTTTAAAATATTTTATTTTTTATAAACTGTTTAAAAAAATATTTATTTTTATTCATTTTTTACTATTATGGGCTTCGGGGGAAATATTAGGGGTCTAAACAGACCCCTGATATTTTCCTTTTAAAATAGAAAAAGAGATTGAGAACACAGAGTCCTCAATTTCTTTTTCTGTATCCCTGTTATCAATGAACAGGAATCCTCTGAGTGTTCCTGTTCATTGATAACATGAGAACAGAGTATAGTTACTATAACCACAATCATGAATGAACAGGGGTGGATATAGATCACTCCCATTCATTCATAATTGAGGATATATTAACCATACCATATCCTCAATTATCTACACTCCCTGATCGCTGAGTGTTTGTAGCCTGCTCTCCTCTCTGACACACCCTGTCACAGGAGGCTGAGTGAGCGGTGCGAGAGGAGAGCCCAGCCTCCTGTGACAGCGGTGTCTCCGCCCCCACACCGCTCTGCCTCACTGTGATAGGCAGCCGAGCGGTGTGGGAGGAGAGACACCAGCCGCTCACAGCGCTCTTGTCCTGCAGCGTTCGGCCGGCTGTCACTTTCTCTCCTCCCCGCTGGGACACAGAGCTGCGCCGCTGTATCGGCAGGAAAATGGCACTTTCTGCATTTAGCCAAAAGTGCCATCCTCAAACGGAAAGTGGAGAAGCGCAAGGTCTCTAACATCGACCAGCTCTGTGATGTCGTCATGGGGGAGTGGAAGAGGACTCCAGTGGCAACCTGGGAAGCTCTGGTGAACTCCATGCCCAAGAGGGTTAAGGCAGTGCTGGAAAATAATGGGGGCCACTCAAAATATTGACACTTTGGGCTCAATTTGGACATTTTCACTTAGGGGTGTACTCACTTTTGTTGCCAGCAGTTTAGACATTAATGGCTGTGTGTTTAGTTATTTGGAGGGGACAGCAAATGTACACTGATATACAAGCTGCACACTCACTACTTTACATTGTAGCAAAGTGTAATTTCTTCTACAGAGATACACTGTGTGTGTTTTTGATCGCTAATGAAAATACTCACCTCTCCGTCGGCTTCCGCGAGTCCCGTCGCAGATCCGTTGACGTCACGGACATCGACGTCACCGGACCCCTTCCCCAAGTGGCTCTGTCGGCTAACGAAGGGAAGGGGAGAGGAGTCCGGTGACGTCACCGGATCTCCGACGGGACTCCCGGAAGGCACGGATGCCGGCGGAGAGGTGAGTGACACTGCATTTTGATGCCACAAGCCCTCCGTGAGATGTTTTAGATAATTTAGATGCAGAGCTAAAATAAATGAAATCATCTACTTCCACTGCTTTAGGCATTACAGTTTTTGTTCACAGCTGTGGTACATGGTGGATCTTTAATTCATACCCAAATAATGTGTGTCTCCATCGGCTAACGAAGGGAAGGGGGGAGGAGTCTTGTGACATCGATGTCCGTGACGTCGCCTGCCTCCTCCCCCTTCCCTTCGTTAGCCGATGGAGCCTCATGGGCCGGTGATCTGTCGACACTGAGAACTTATCGAGTTTTGCGACCGCCTGACTTCCGGTTTCGTTACAACTAAGAGGTTAGCCCAAGAAACTTGTTCTGCACGAGCGCCAGCCAAGGCATTGGCCTATACACATATGGCACAGCAATGAAGTAATAAAATGAACTAGGATAACACTAATCCAGCACGTTATTAGTTGCCCCACTCAAGCGGCGGCCATATTGAGTGGAGCACGTGAGATTAATAACGTGCTGGATTAGTGTGATACTAGTTCATTTTATTACTTCATTGCTGTGCTGTATGTTTATAGGCCAATGTAATTGGATCTGTATGTGCGTTATAATCGATTTTAAAAAAATTTCGATTAATCGAACGCGAAAATTTTAATCAGTAACAGCCCTAATATATATATACACAATGTGTGTAGTAGTTGTATTAAAGTAGTATTGTTCTATTTTCTATTAGTATTCTATTTTAAAGCTTGCTTTTAATGAAGCTTATGCAGTATCTGGCAACTATTAGCACTTGAAAAATAATTCTGGGGATATATTGCCAAAGGAAAGCCTTATTTTTCCCTAAACATGGTATGTGTATCACCTCAGTGTGAGTACTGCCAAAGGTATTGCAACGCTGGGCCCATAGCTAAAATAAAAACTTCCTTTAATCCATACAGGATAAACATCTGCTAAATGTTTGTGATAACTTTCCATTTCACTGCAGAAATAATATATTCTTTACATCCGAATTATCGTACTTATAAATGTCTCTGTACAATATATTATTTCATTTTCTATATCACTGTCTAAGGTCCAGCTTCTTGATGCTGATGGCCTTGAACATGAGGGTGATGAAGCAGAAGACAGTGAATCACCTGAACAGAGAGCTCGCCGACCGATGAACGCTTTCCTGCTGTTCTGCAAGCGTCACCGTTCCCTTGTGCGTCAGGAGCATCCACGACTGGATAACCGCGGTGCTACAAAAATATTGGCAGATTGGTGGGCCTATCTGGATCCTATTGAGAAGCAGAAGTATACAGACATGGCAAAAGAGGTTTGTTGGACTGTCTTTATTCAGATGTAGTCTAGTTTGTAAATTTGAATATCTGGATTTCATGCAGAACTGTGGTTCAACTTAAAGTGTGCACGTTATTCTGCATATTTCGCAAATTGTTTGCTCTAACATATGCAACTAAAAAGTAAACAGACATAGGCAACCGGTTTATGCTTTTTTGTCAGTTAGCAATTCAGCACGTTTTGCCCACATTCCACATACCAAACGTGTCCTCACATTTCATCAGCTGTTCTTTTTTTGGAGGTAATCTCACATATGCACTGATGGAATAATAATTAAATTTAGCTATCATTGGCTATACCTGCAAAGTATGACCTGTTGGTAAGACTTGGCTATAGGACTTGAACACAGGATTTAGAAATACTGTGCAGAACATTTGTTGGAAGGTAGGGATAGAGGTTTATACGGAGAGAGCAAGGGACTATCACTTACAATACACTGTGTTCAAAACAAAAACCCTAAATTATTCCTTCCCCAGCGTGTAACTGTGTTGCCTTAACTTACCTTCCTTGCTTCAGTCCACCGGTGCATCGGGGTTTAGGGACATGTGATATTTTAATTTTTTCCCTAATGTAGGTAAGATGGGTTTGTACTCCCAGATATCCCTGGCATTTAGGGACCAGGACATCTGATCCCAGTTACCCTTCCTCTCTGCCTTCAGGTGAGAGCAGAATTGGGCATCAACAAACCTATAATAAACAGAGTAAGATTAAATTGGCAAAGATTTGTGTCTGACATTTATTCAGGAGACCTTGAACTGAAAATATTCTTCATGGGTCATGCGATGCTTGAAAAGTTGTTATAGGTTGTTATTCTAATCAGTTCCAACCTCCAGTGTGGTAATGACTGTAGATATTTTACCATTTGAGCTCTTCACAGTCAGATGCTTTATAATGTATTGCAGTTGGCAATGTCTCAGAACATATAGTGCAGGTGTTTAGAAATATAATCTTGGGCTGTTGGCATCATGTCCTCCTTTGGTCAGACACTTTGTTCTTACTGCGTACATTCCTTGGTAGAAGGGCTTACAGATTTTTCTTTATTGTTCTTTGAGGCCCGCAGGACTTTGGAAATTCTTACACAATTGGGTTATACTGCTGCCTTCAGGAGTTTGGAACACTGGTAAAAAAAAAAGTTAAATAGCCCCTGTATAACCTAGCCTATAGGGTGCCGGCATGAATTGCAGCTTGAATTTCAACCAAGTCAGCGGGATTTGACTGACAATCAAGCAGTGTATAGTAGAGCAGTATTTAGAAACCACTTCTGAGAGTTTGCTGCATATTCACAAAATGAACATAAAAAGCTTGTTGTTTTTTTATTTTTTTTATTTTAACTAGTTCACAGTGGGTTTCATAGTTTGTAAACATACTAGGTGATAAAAATATATAGCTAAAAATAAATCATATATAATAATATACATACTGCACTCTTCTTCCACCCTTTCTGATAGCCAAGTATTTAACATGTGTAAATAATGCTATTGAATTTTCTTGATTTTATATTAAAGTCTATTCTATATCTAGTAGTAAAAACCATTGGACCTCCTGTTAAAATTCTCCCTTCCTTTTTACTTTTATTATCTTTTAGCAAATCATCTCTGCTAGCATGTCTTTTTAACATGCTAATAAGCTTTTTATATGATATTACTATTGTATCCTGTATTCTAAGAGTCTATACCATAAAGTTCTTGGTAGATCTAATGCAGGTTGTACAATTAGATTGTAACGTGGATATTTCGTTTTAAGTAGTGAGTTCTCCAATTATGGGATATATTTTATCCTAAAAGGATCCAAGTAAAAGGCAGCAGACACATATGCCTGCGATATTGGCAAATACCTCCTCCACATTGCCAGAAATGACGTAGGATCATTGGTGTTCTGTGCCATGTGAAAATCATTTTAGAACTGCTTCCTGTTCTGTAGTATAAACAGAATCTTTTTGAGCAAGCTCATGACATATCGTTCATTCATCTTGGTCTATTGTTTTCACCAGCTGAAAGGCCCATTATTGTGTAAAGAGGCAGGCTGATCAAATTTTTTATCTATGTTGTATAAATAGGCTTTATTTTCTTTCTTTTTGTGTGTTTTATTTATGTTCTTTATTGTATAAATAATGCTAATCAGAATCTTATAAAGTTTGACACTTGTTGCCAAACATTTCAATGTTCTGCTTTGGCTCCTGGCAAATCATGTTGTTTGGAAAGCGTTTTCTAGAAATGTGGAAGATGTAGACCTTCTATGGTTTGACATTGTATTCATGAAGAGAAGTGGAGTAACATTTTTATTAGTGACGTGTGGTATTTGTGGGTAGGCAAGTTTCTATGTTTACCAGATAGGAAGAGTGCTGAGTTTGCAATTAGGTCCATCTGTTCATAGTATAAAATTATTATCTGTTGAACTGTCTCATCCCTAATTTTTGGTGTGTAATCTGTTAGGAGTGGGGGGTCTCTGGGAGGGATTCATGATATGAAAGATCAGGCTGAAAAAAAAAATTACATGGAGGTTAAAGGATGGAATGATTTGGTGGAAGTTGGATATTTATTTTTTTAGAACTTTTGAACAAAACTTGCTTCTTGAATGCTTGAAATGACAAGTTTGGAATGCACGGTTACCCCCAGTTGACACTTAAATGAAAATGAAGTAAGGCATTGTGTCTTTCTGTTGTCCTTTTTCTGTGTTTTTTTTTTTATATAGCTTACTATTTCAGTAGGTAATTATTTATGTTTCAGCTTTTGCTTGGGAAATGGAATCTCAATGTAATAAACATTTGGTTTTCCACAATGTAAACATATTAAAAACGTACAACAATAGTATTTATATGTTCATGCATGTATGTATGTATAGAGTGTGTGCATTTACACAAACACACCTGTAAGGTTATTTGTGTAAAGCTAACCTCTTATTTAAAAAATCAACCTTTTTAACATCACTCCATTTGAGCAATAAATAAAACACATTACCATTATAAAGAGTGGCCACTGCAGTATTGTCACTTGAAGTACAGCTTGACCATCATCCATACCAAATTGGCCACATGCATGGATCAACACCATGACCTACATATACATTTATGTGTGTGTGTATGTATTCATTTCACTATGGATGATGATCACTCTATGGTAGAGTTGAAGACAAATTATAGCGCTGTGTATCTGAATGTATAGAAGTGAAAGTGATCAGCTTAATGTAAACCGCATTATCAGACCATGTTAATGCTTTCCAAATCTTGTTTGTTTATATTTTGTAATTATGCACATAAGGGGAGCCATATATGTTCATTACATATACAATGTCTGTTTCTTGCTTAGCTTTACTGTACCATGTTATTCCTTGCTGATCTTATTTCATAGGATGTCCAGTCAGTTTTGTATTACTGAAAACCGACTTTCTGCATTCTCTTATTGTTTGAACCGCCCACTATGCACCTCATGGCCAGGGACTGGGTGAAGTCATATGTGGGATCTTAGGAGCAACATTTTTTATTCTTGGCATGTAATGTTATTTGGTAATGATGACGTATGCTTAATTGACATGGGTCTGGTATAATGTGGCCATAACTGTAGTTGTAGTACAACATGGTAGTAATTCCCCAGCTGTTGTAGTGATGGTCACTTTTTGTCTTTTGGCATGGTCATCTCCTGGCTATAACACTGGTCAGTCTCTGAGCATGGGGATAGCCATTTCTAGCTGTTAGGCAATACAGGATGAGAAGTGTGACCACTACACAGGGGCAATAAACTTGACATGGACTAACCATATGTCAGACCTTGATAGGTAATGTTTGTCAGGAACATTGGTGTATTACATGGACGCACAACTTGGATTACTGGCAGAAGCACTTTAAATAGACAATTTGTCATGAGATATTGATGGACATGCTTATGTATGGACCATTTTGATACTGTATATATAAAGTAGAATTATTGTCTTTTATAGATGCGTACACTAATATTCATTTTCCACTATTTATTTTTTCACATATTGGTTAAATAATTGAGTTGGGATGGTGTAGAAGGGCTGTGTTTATATAACTATAATTTATATGCTGGTAGGTTTATTGGCTCCAGTCTAAATCGGCCCTGTGTGCATGTGAGATATGGATCTTAGATTGTAAGCTCCTTACGGGCAGGGACTTATGTGAATGTGCACTATAAATGGCACCGCGTAAATTGCCGGTGCTATAAAAATACCACTAATAAACGAAATATGGAAGTATATAGAATATTCTTGTCTTGAATTGTATTGGAACTGTAATGTCTTCCTTATATTGAAAATTGTTGGTGCTATATACATTTTGTATTTATTATTATCATAATTATAATGAAACAAACAAGTGACTATGCAGCCTAATGCTTTCCCTAATGTGGCCACTAGATGGTGCTAAGACACCCTAGTTTTGTTTTCCTGGCGGAGGCATAATGATTTTTTTTCCTCTTTCTATTGAAGCTGAAACAGAAACTTGAAAGTATAGCACAGTAAGGCCAGGACTGGCATCACGGCGATTTCTATGTTTAAACATCAGTGTTTACCTAGTGCAAGTAACTTGCCTGCATATGGACGATTTACGAAGCAGAGGGAAGTAAATATGTCAGGGTGAGGAAATGTGGATTTCTCATGGCTGCATGCTGTGTGGATGAGTGAGGAGATAGCCGAGTCTTTTCATGTGAGGCTGAGATCGTATCTGGTTGCAGTGCGCACATACGTTTCTTCCAAATGCTGTGACACTGAGCCCTGCACAGTATAACTGTGGGGTACACCGCCTGAACAGGGAGAACTTTATCTTACAGGAAGTTGGACTTGTTGTCTATGATGTCTGTTGCAGCCATCTGGTACCAGTAGCAACGTACTGTACAGAAATGCTGTTGGCTTTCTTGACCAGGTCATTATAACCAGCTTCACATTTGCATTGCCTTACTTTCAATATAGGCTTGGTTGTATTCTTGGCTATGTCTGCAACTCTACATGTCACTGTTTGTATTATTTGAATAGCAGTCCGTGGACAGAGACTGTGCCTGTGAACAATGGCAAGCTGTTGATGACTGCAGGCCATTATGATTTTGACAAGTAGAAAAATGATACAAAAATAGGCTTGTTGATGAATGTTTGACATTTCCTTGTGCTTTTAAATACACTGGATTGCAGTCTAATGCAGAACTCTACACAGCTTGGACACACATAGGATTCATGAATTTCACAGATACATTCACTGACTATCACACAAACACAATGGAGGTATTGTGACATAAGCAATGTTTAAAAGAGTATGGCCTATCAAGACAGTAGGGATTAGTTACGTTACATTAAGGGCTCATTCACATCTGTATGGCGTGTGTGTGTGCTCCAGGAAAGAACAGGTGCCGCATGTAATTGCATGCAGCAGTCTGTACCTCACTATGGGAGGCAAAGGCGGGCTACGCACAGCACCTAACCTTCCTGGGAGCAGGTCTCTGCATGGGTATGCATGCCGTATGGATGTGCATGCCCATGTAATAGAGCCCTAAACCTCTTGCCACACTAATATCAATATTTTCCAGTGGATGGGTTGAGAATTCTGGCACAGCTGCCTTCAGGGTGTATGGGTGAAAGATATATTGTAAGATACAGCCTGATGAATTCTTTGCCATCTCTATAAATACTTGACAAAATATGTGTTATTAATTGCTCTTCTTGCAATATAAAAGCAGCTAGTTACTTTGTATTTATGTAGATTTTTTTTTTTTAAATTAAGGTAGAACATGAGTGAAGGATAAAGAGATCTGTTTCTCACAGAAAAACATGCATTGGTGTCAAAGAATCAAACGTTTTCCGCAAATATGCCAGCGCTCTACAATTTAAAAAGAAAATGGGGCAGAAAAGAAAATAAATAAAAGATCTAGTTACAATTACACTAAAGTAGTAGTCGTTCTGTAGCTGAATTGTGCCCCGTATTCTGACCCTATCTTAGTCATTCGCTCCATTCATGCCTAAAGTGCAGAAAAAGTTCCAGAATGCAGGTCTCAAAACACACCTCAGATTAATGCTATTGTTCTTTACAGAACCTGTCAGGATAGAAATATGGCATCTGCCACCACCAACTTGATTTTAAAAACGCGTATAATTTTTAGGTACATCTTTGCAATACATTCACATTTCCCCATGTTTTGTCTAGCAATGTTTGTTGATCCGTCAGAAATTCAGTGAGCTCCTAGCTTACTTTTGGCAATGCTAACTCTGCTGCATTGTATTGCGTTTTGGAGCAGACAATGCTGCCCCTACTGCACTCTAATCCCATGCTGATTGGCTGCACTGCTTCAGTTCTCAGCTGCTACACAACCAAACATCCCTGTCATCTCCATACCAAAAGCATGTGTGCTTTAGTCCAGCTGGGAAGAACTCAGGCAAAGCTGATAACACTGCTTGGGATTTAATGCAGCTGATGCAGCATTGATAGCTCACTGCATGAAGCCAGTAGCTCACTGGATTTCTGCCAGTATCGACAGATATTGTACTTGCAGTGTTTTTAAAGAAATGCAACTTGGGAAATGTGTATTTCTTTCTAGTCCCATTGAGGGGAAAATATATTCAAATAGTGTTTGATTATACTACCATCTACAAGAGGAATGAACTCTGGCAGACAAAACAATTGTGGGCCAGCATAACTCCACCTACTCCCTGCACGCCTCCGTTTTTTTTTTTACTAGTGTCCTGTGATGTTGCAAACCATTTCCTCAGTATTTTTTTGCTAGCTTTTATTTTTTCTTCTTCATGGATTGTTTTCCTTGGTGACTTTAATTGAGATTCCTTGCTACATCACTGCTTTAGCTGGTTTCTGTATAGAAGCTATCCAGATCAGCGTTTCCTCAGCTCTAGCTTTGTAGGTCGCATCTGGATCCCGCAGAACTAAACGTAACAGGGCTAGGCTAGCCACAGCAATTCCTTGTGCATACTGATGGCAGAGATTCTAATCATGCTCAAGTGCCACCCACTGCAGAATCTAGCTTTTTCCTTTTATCTCTGAAGAGACTTCTTGCCATCACCTCAGAGCTACAAGGGGTAGTTCATACTACTCTGCATTTGGAGGATCAGGCTGCAGTCTCCTTGGTTTCTCTTTTCCCATTCATATAGCATAAACTTGATATTACCCTTTAACATGTTTTTTTTCTGAAAACTCCAGGACTAAAAAATTCTACTTAGTTGCTACGCAATGTTTAGGAGGGTGCAAAGAGTTGTGTTTGCCATAATAAACTGACTGAAAGACTGAAAGAGAGTACATTACTATACAATGCCTGGAGATGTTCAACCCTTTGTTAGAATCAACAGTTCTGCTAAATATTAACTGATAATGAAATTTGCCAGCACGGTACAGAAAGTATTTGTCTCCCCAGATGGTTGGTAGGCAGGGCACACTAGTCTCCTGCTCAAAGTACCCTTAGACATGCATGGGGAACCCCTTACTGCCTTGTCAAACTAGGGTTAGGTCCTCTTTCTTCCCCATTGAGGAAGGGCCTCAGGTTTCTTCCCTTGCTCTATGAATGCTGCCGCTTTGTTTGACCTGGGGGTTCAGGAGCATCCCTTCGCTAGACACCAGGGACTGGCAGACTTCTGGTTTCCAGCTCACCAGTCTTGTAACAGTGCCTATATCCCTTCCCTTGCCCACACTTGTGGATGTGCTCCCTCACACCATGCCTATTCAGTCATTTGACTCTGTGAGACAAAATTCCTGAATTCTCTAGAGGACTCTATCTTGCAAGCTGTTGTGGTCTAGCTAATTCAGGATTCTTCTTGACTAGTCTGGCCTAACAAGATTAGCTGAATGTATAGGAGTATATTTTCAGTGGACATTTTAATGCGCACTTTATATAACGGGGGAAAAATGGTTAGAGTTTATATCTCTGATTTTATGGTTAAGTAATACAAAAGGCTGAGAACATGCAGTTTTACTAGTATGAATATTACACTTACATTAGATGTGCTATCTAATAGCAGTGTTTGTTTTGTCTCTGCATGTGGTAAAGTTACCTTTTGTGTTAGTAATATGTTTTATAAAATGAGTTACAACAGTGTGCATGTTTGATCCTCTTTATTGCATATTTTTTAGTTGTTTTCTTTCTTTTAGTACAAAGATGCATTTATGAAAGCACACCCTGGTTATAAATGGTGCCCTACAACAAATAAACCCGTAAACGCCCAATCTCCTACTGTGACAACCAGGAAGAAACTTTGGGCTTTTCCTCCGGACTCAATTAAAGATATTCCAGGTGTCAAGAAAGTGTCCAAAGACGAGGAAATGCCACAGCTAAATTTTGGTATAGCAGGTGAGTTGGCCTTTTTTGCTAGTAAAAAAACAACCTGTTTGTCATTATTAAAGCTGAACTCCAGAGAAAAGTTTCAGTCGGTCCCTCTCTGCACTGCAAGGGTTAACTGCTCATTTTTGCCTGGGGGATTATGCATAAGGTAAATTAGTTACCTTATTCCTCCTTCCACTGGCAGCCTGTGCTGTCCTCCGCTTTGGCGTCCTGAATTGTTGGCCGGCCCTCGGCAACCTTGTGCAAGACTACTGGTATGGGATGATGTCAAAGAGCTGCGACCAGCCAGGCAGCGCAGGGAAGAGGCTTCAGGGATCCAGTTGCACAAAGAGGAGGAAGCCTGCGGAAGCGAAGAATAAGGTAAGCATATCATCTTGCTCATCATCTTCTGGGTGAAAAAAGCAGTTAAATCTGATTTTTTTTTTTGTTTGGTTTGAAAACAGCTTACAACCCCCAAACAATGCTATATTTTCTGAAAGCAGAGGCCCTGTAGAATACAAAATGCTAGTTGCAATTTTTTATGTCGCACGGTATTTGCGCATATGTTTATCAAACCCATATTTTTAGGATAAATTACACTAAAATTAAATTTAGTGCACAGAAACAGAATATAATACCCAGTTTTTTGGTAAAATATGAAAGACGGGGTCACACCAGGGAAATGAATACCAAATATGTCAAGCTTTAAAATTCTGTTCACCCGTGAAACCGCAAAAAACTACAATACCAATTTCCCATAGGCGATGCCTTTAAAAGCTTTTACTACTCATCAGTTTAGTGTTAACAGTGATTGGTGGCCCTAGAATTATTGCTCTCACTCTGACCTTCGCAGGACTCTCACACGTAAGTGTGAGTGTGTGTGTGTGTGTGTGTGTGTGTGTGTGTGTGTGTGTTGCTTTCATTTTGTATTTTTTTTATTTTTTTTTACACAACTTTTATTGCTATCACATAGGGGGCTAACAAGTTCCCTATGTAATTGCAAATATAATGTGACAGGTCCTCTTTATGGAGACATCGGGGGTCTTTAAGACCCCTAATGTCACCCAGGGACCATAAAGAAGCTGAGGAAGCTCCGCTTCTTCTCCTGGCTCTAAGAGCTGGAGAATGTACACGGTGAAACCGGAAGTTATGTAATACACATCACTTCTGGGTCCAGTGAACAGAGGAGAGATAAGCGGCTGATCTCCCTCCGATCTGTCAGAGGAGACCCGATGTGCCGGTCTTGGTCCCGCACGGGGAGCCACCGGAGCCCAGGGAAGCTGGCAGTGAAGGGGGGAGCACGTTCTGCCGCACCGTGAAAGCGATCTGGCAGCTGTATAGACGCCGGATTGCTTGCATCTTAACAGCAATCGCCTGCTGTTTAAAATGATCAGCAGCAACTGTGTTCTTAGTATAACCACTTCAGGACAGGATGTTTTTTGACGGTGGGTGGTTACACACATTTTGTGGAATAATCATGTCAATAGCATTGTCATAAGAATTTGATAGAAGAAAATAATCCTGAAAGCAATAATAAATGCACTGCAGTGTTGTGCTGGTTTGTGTGGGCTTTACAAGTATTTTGACAATGCTTATTTTCATACCTATTATGAGTTTTTGCTACTGGTTTTCAAATAAGAGCCACATCCATTTTCAGTCAAGTCAGTATTTCAGTATATTATCTTTGTCATCTAATGTATCATTTAACATCTAATAGGCATTGAATTGCATCCCAGCACCATCCCCTTATGTTATGGAAGCAATGTTAAATTTGAACTCCAGCCTTAAGTTTCATCTTGCACAGGTGTGCAGGCTCCTCTCCTATACTGATTCTGCTATCACTGAACACTGCAAGCTTCTTACAGTGTACATTAGCAGTTGCATCAATCAAATAGAGTTTGCCTCATTTTCTGTCTGTAAGACGTTCAGCATCATGTAGCCTTCCTCCCAAGTCTTACTGTTCCTGGTCTGTCCCTTTATTCATTGAAACTTACAGGGTTATTCACTAAAGGGTGAAGAGTTTGGAGAAGGCAGGAGAAGTGAACAATCTAGGACAACATAGCTGAACTGGAAAGGGAGCTGAATTGGAGAATTTTTCCAAATCAGCTATGTTGTCCTAGATTGTTCACTTCTCCTGCCTTCTCCAAACTCTTCACCCTTTTGTGAATAACTGTTAGTTCTTTCAATCATAGAGGCTCAACATCACATGAAGGCATTACCTAGGACAGTCTGTATGCTAACCCAACTTGCCTAGGAATGTCTACTACTCCAGAGTGACACCCACCCATCAAGGCATTTTATATTTGCATAACTCCTCCCACCCACTTGCTGCTTGCATCAGGTTTGATGGCTCTTGAGAGGAGTACTGAGGGAGGGGGCTGTGATGTGTTTAGAAAGCACACTGCCTGCGACTCCCACAAATCATGATCTGCCTGCATTACATAGGGAAGCACAGAGACCCATTGAAGAATGAATTAGGTCTAAAATAAGGTATGTTCTAAAAATGGAAAAGTAGCCCCACTGCAAGGGTTAATTAAAAAAAAAATAATTCCCGGAGTTCGACTTTAAAAATGTCAATAGCATGTTGATGAAGGGGGACGAAGGAACCAGGGATTGCAAAATATAAGCAGATTAAATGTCCGTTTTAAAAGTTTCTTCCCTCAAACAAACATAACATTACAAAGTAAATGAGCAAACCCGGTCACATTTCTTTACTCTCCAATATACTTGTCACCTAGTGGCTAATTGCTTTCTGTTAACACATTGTTACATGATCGTATGCATTGTTAATTATAAAACCTAAATAGTATAAACTCCATCAATTATGATTGGAATATTTGAACCCTGATTCACTACTCATATCAGGGGTTTAAGCCCCTGGCATTGACCAGCCGATACACACCCCAAGAAGGACACTCTCTCTTTCTGCAGTCCAAAAGATGTTCTGCGTTGGTGAATTGGAAAGCACTAATGCCAGAGGGTCAGTGCATCATCCAGGCAACTGGGGATCAAATCTGTCAATCTACACATCTTTTTCAGGACAGATTTCTCAAAGTTAGGATGTATGTATAGGAGATGACTTGTCCTTACTTACTCCATGGCCCCTGTAACATGTGTCAGCCATGTTCTAGGGAGGGTAGGAATATATAATCCACGCCCTTCCCACAATTAGAAATAAAATAAGAAAGTTACATTTTGTTTCTGAAGACCCCATGCAGTTGAAGAACTCCAATAATCATTCCTCTCACCAGTGAATTCTTCCCATTGGTTTTCCAGCGATGCTTTAAAGCCACACTCCGGGAAAAATTATAATTTACACTGGGTATGTATATTATTCAAAAGCTGTGTGTTATGTGCAGAGGGCTGCAAAATAGAAAACTCTTACCTTGCAACATGCTGTCCCCTGCATGTATCTCTGAGCTTCTGACTCCAGCATTACAGCACTCCACTTGCATCACCCACCTCTCCTCACTGTCGTCCATTCACAAAATGTCTTGTGTTTTTTTCAAAGAATACAGGGCATTCTGTGATTGGAGGAGGAGAAATGATGTCACATGCCTGATCCATCCTCTCCTCCAGTCACAGAATGACTTCTCAGAAGATCTTCTCTGGTCACAACGGCCAGGAAAGGATGGCACTGAACCAGGAAGGGAACAAAACGCTTGTTGCTTCCAGGTTTAGGGCTGCAACAACTAATCGACATAATCGATTATAATCGATTATTGACAAAGTTGTCAACTTTTTCAATAATCGATTAATCGGCTTCCAATCAGTTGGCCCTGTTCACGGCTCCACACGCTGCCCGCCGCTCCTCCTCCCCACCTCACGCTCGCCGCTGCCAGACCCGCTCGCATCCACGCTCCACACGCCGCACCTCCTCCCCGCCTCACATTTCCTGCCCATCCACGATCGGCAAGGCACGCGGGGAGATGTAGTAAGGAGGAGCAGGGGTGGGGGGATGACAGCAGCTGATAGACAGGTCCAATCTCAGAAGCAAGTTGCTGGAAGACTGCTCAGGTAAGCCTGCACTTTCCCACACATGGTGCTCTATAATGTATTGCTGGGATTTGTATTCCTCTATAGCTGATGGTACATTGTGCTCTATAATATACAGAGCAATGTACCATCAGCTATAGAGGAATACAAATCCCAGCAATACATTATACACTGTATGTATAATGTATTGCTGGGATTTGTTGTATTCCTAAATAGCTGGTGATATTCTGCATTGCGCTGTACAGAGGACTACAAATCCCAGCAATAATATATTATACAGCGCAATGTGGAATACCACCAGCTATAGAGGACTACAACAAATCCCAGCAATAATACATTATACATTGGTGCAATGCCGAATACCACCAGCTATTGAGGACTACAAATCCCAGCAATAGTACATTATACAGCGCAATGCAGAATACCGCCAGCTATAATGTACTATTGCTGGGATTTGTTGTATTCCTCTATAGCTGGTGGTATTCTGCATTGCTCTGTATAATGTACTATTGCTGGGATTTGTAGTCCTCTATAGTCGGTGCCATTTCTGCATTCATTGCTGTATAATTTTACACTTTCCTTTTCACTATATTGCACACCACACTATTTTTTTACTTCCACCGCTCCAAGCTTGCTCCTGTGATGGACTACAATCTCAATACAAACTAGTAGTCCATCACTGGAGCCATTTTTAAAAATGTTTTTTATTGTTTATCCTATTAATCAAACTTAATAATCGGCTAACTAATCGATTTTGAAAATAATCGTTAGCTGCAGCTCTATCCAGGTTCATTCACCAGAGGATGATCAGCCAACAGATGTTGGCTGAACTTCCTCTGCTGTCTATCCGCTCTGCCCGCTGACACCTACCATGGCCATCCCATTAGGAGGGGCAACAGAGCCCAGGATAAATGGTGGGAGGGCCATTCTAGTGTGTGTGGCTGAAGAAATGTAAGCACACTCCCAGCTCTGTTTAACGTCTCGTGCTGCAGCCGACACAAGCCTTACGTCAGTGCCAGCAAAAAGGTAAAGTATAGGTCCAGCCAGTTTTTTTACTTTCATTTTGGATTTAATGGAAAGAGATTAGAATCCCTTTTAGATATTTATCTGCTAAGTGGCATTCCATTAGAGGAACTAATACCAACTTTCTGCCCAACTGACAATGGTCTCATGAGACGGGAGGTGGGGAAGTGTTAACAGCAACACAGACGGCAATGTAAAAAAAAAGCTGACATGGTTGGGTTCTAGTCTTGCCCTGCTTCCCTAAAAAAAAAATATTTCAGTCCTGCTGCTGAAGATTTACCTCACTGCTCACAGCTGTTGTCCGGTAAATGAAGGAAAATCTCTAATAGAGTTTGGAATAGCAATAAAACCTAACTGGTTCTATCACTTCCCCAATCTGACTAAGGAGAGCATATCTGGACATACACTTTAAATGATATATATATAGTACCTATTACCTGTTTTGGTATGGTACTCTGTGATCCCTTTTAATATTAGATCAGTGTATGGTCCTGTATTAAATAACAGAATAAAAGAAGCTATTATAAAGTGTACATGTATTTCTTTCCTTTGGGCAGAGCCCATAATGTAAAATATGCTCATAACAGTGAGTTTCAGTATGTGTCGGGTAATATTAGATTGCTTCAGTGGCCTTCAGCAGGAGCAGAGGTTTTTTCTTTTCTTTTAATGTCTACTGACGGTGCTTGCAATACAGACTACATCCACTCTCAGTAGATTCTTAACAATAATGCAGTAAGTGAACACAGGATAAAAGGATAAACACTTTGTTCTTGATGTTTTCCGTTGGGGAAATGTGCTTGTGCTTTATTAGTTTCTTTTTCTATTGGTACAAGGCTTGCTTTTATAAAGCTGACATATTTTATTTGCTGAAGTTATATATAACTGCTTATTAAAATGAGACAATCCATTTAAGGGGCCAACCTAAAGCCATTTAACTCTAAAGAGGAACTTTAACCATATCTTTAAAATGACAACAAAGACACCTTTTAGAAATGTTTAGTAATGACAATCTACAAAGATATACTTCTAGGTAATTGCAGACTTTGTATTGTTTGCATACCTTTTATTTTTCTTTTCCTCCCCATCCTTCTTACAGTGGTCATTTTTACTAAGGCCAGATTACCCTTTACTTCCTGGAACTCTGGCAAATGTGACTAGAACATGTGACCATGCACATCATCTTAGGGGAGAAAAAAGCCTTTCCCTGGGATCTCAGGAGATTACAGATGAGATTTCTCAGCAATGCTTTGCTGAAGTAATCTTCCCAGGATGCAACGCTTAGGCACATTACATCACTATTGCCCAAGATGACCAGGAAGTAGAAAAACAATAATTGTAAGTAAAAGAAAAATACGTTTGTTAAACTAATGTAAGATTTTCTTTCATATGTGCATGCAGAGCTGCATGCTGAGTTGATTTTTAGTGAAAGGGGGTAAAGGTCCACTTTGAGTATGTTTAAAGATGCTCTCTTTCTATATACAGTTATCTTAATATGAAGGAAACTACCTGTGGCTGTAAACACAAAGTGAACCTTTTATACGTTTTGCATGCATACATACATACATACATACATACATACATACATACATACATACATACATGCATGCATACATTTAAAGGGTCAGTGACCTGACAACCTTAAAGCTCTTCTCCAGGCAAAAAGTAGGGTAAAGTATGAATTACCTCCCACCCCCCTTAACTCATCCTGCAAAATTGTTGGTTTTCCTTACCTGGGGAAGCAAGTTAAACTCACAGAAGTCCACCATCCAGGTCCCTCACCAATGCCATTTCCGGGTGCTGGGGACCACTAACCCAGTGCTGCAGATGCACCTGCGCTGGCTGGTCCCCTACAGTCCACTCGTGCTGACGCCACTCCTCTTCTGGATGCTGAGGGAACTTCACCACTTGACAACCAATAGGAAGTGTCCATATCATGGAGGCAGTGACATGGACACCGGAAGAATCCCGCTGGATGTAAACATAAGAGAGAAGATGGTACTTGAGTTTCACATGACTGTGGATTTAGGTAAGTAGAACAGGCATTATTTTTTTTTGTGTCAGTGATCAATTAGAGCGGAATGGGGTTAATATTGACCTGGAGATGGGCTTTAACTGATAGTTGAAAGTTATTCTGGCTCCTTGACGCATTGCTGTTCCATTTGGTTGTCCTAAACTTTTTTTTCTTTAATTGATCCCTTTATTAATTATAATTATGTTTCTTTGCTAGATCCAACACAAATGGGAGGACTTAGCATGTTGCTCCTAGCCGGGGAGCACGCCTTGACTGCACACAAGGATCAAGCTACGACTGCACAAATAGAAATAACAGAAACAGAGGTGTGTGTATATATGTGTGTCTTTCCAGGTGTGCTTCTGTTGTAAAGCCGACAGTCGGCTCTACAAGTTTAAACAGACTCCCGGCGGCAAAAGTCGCCGGGAGTCTGTTTAAACAGCCCCGATGCTGGCGACGTACACTGTACGTCGTCAGTCACGAAGGGGTTAAGAAACTCCGCACGTTGGTTGTTCCAAACATCTAGAATAACTAAGCACTGTTCTTCTGTGGATTTAGGCTGCCCAAATGCTTTTGTCTCTTCATATAATTCCAGACTGACTCAAGTATGTTGAGATCAGACCTCTGTGGGAGCCCATACCATCACTTCCAGGACCCTTTGTTCTTCTGTTTGCTGATGGTTCTTTATGACTTTGGCTGCATGTTTGGGGTCATTGTCCTGTTTCAATATAAATTTGGGACTGTTCAGATTCCTCCTTGATGGTATTGAATAATGGATACATATCCGCCTGTGCTTTAAAACATTGAGAAGACTGTTAATTCGGTTTAAATCCCATGGGCAGGAATGCAGCCTCAAACCTACAAGGAACCTCCACCATGCTCCACTGTTGCCTGCAAACACTCATCCTTTTACTACTCAGGCTTTCGTCAAGCAACCTGTTTTCTGTTATAGCCGCACATTTCAAATTTCGTCTCCTCAGTCCAGAGCACTTGTTGCCCTTTTTCTGCACACCAGTTCTTGTTTTATCATGCATAGGAGAGTCAATTGGCTTTTTACTCACTTCGAAGGTATGGCTTTTTAGCCATAAGTCTAGTGTAGCATGGATTTTCCTAATTCCTCCTATGCAGATGATTCTGTCCGAATGTAACGATTTATATTTTAACATACATGTTATCGGTAACATTATTTGGTAAAATTGTTTAATCATGCACAATAAATGCCTGCAAAATCTTTATCTGTGTGCAAGTATCCCTGGTAGAACTGATGCTGTTTTTAAAGGAGTGGATATGCCAAATATTGGTTTGATTTAAGTTTTTTTTCTGTATATGCACTTTGTTGGTTGTTGATTAAATATAAAACAATTTTTTTATTTAAAGCATCTTGAGTTGCCATTTTGACACTTTTGCACAGTACTGCTATGTTTATCTGATATTACCTGTTGAAGGGGTATCAACATCCCACAAAGAATCTTTCTGAGCCCCAGCATGTTCCTGCATGGCTAGAGCAGGGAAGGACTTATAAGGGTCAACTAGGAATATAATTAGTGATTAGCTTGGAGTGTGAACCATGGCTTCAGTGGTCCACTGAGAAGCAATATCTTCTTTCATCTCCAATTTAATAACTATCTCACTACAACTTGTTTTCAGTTTAATCCCAAACTTGATATAAACCGCTAACTACACAGTTTTTTACTCTGTCCAGCTACTTTTGTAATTCATACACCTTTGCAGACAGCCCAGGACTGTGACACTACTTACAATAAAAGTTAGAAAATACATTGGTGTCAGTTCCCTATCCATAGCCTGTTATCTGGACAATAAAGGAGAAACTACACACTGAACTCGCACATGTCCCCCTGCAGCACATATGCATGCAGCATAACCTGATTGGCTCCTACTAGTGCCCCTCCCTCTTCTTGTCAGATATGTTCTAAACAGATTCAGGTATTTATGCAAGTTGAATGTAAAAATACATGTAATTGTAAGGGTTATAAAACGTTCTGACACTGGTTTTTATGTCTTCATGGAATTCAGTTTTAGTTATGTTTCCATTAGAACATGAAGTAAATGGGTTGAATTTAAAACCTTCCAAGATAATTCATCAACATGTCCCTTTTTTGTCTGGAAAAAAACGTATTTTCCACAAGAATGCAGTGTTAACACCTACTTGGGTGTAATTGCATTAAGTAATACATAATGTCTGCTCTACCCATACATAAAGATTCCATAAATTAAACTCTGAGACTTTTTTTACTTGGCTGTTTGTACATGTGGATTTTCAGGTCTTGGTGAGCTTCTGTCTAGCCGTAGTTGAAGACCCACTGGAAGTTTGATTGCCCTCGATAGTAATGCCAATTTTCAGATATTGTAGCCAAGATTAGCCTAGCTTGTATCTATTTTATTTTTCTCATTTTGTTGTTGCCAGTTCTGACTTTTCCAGTCTCCTTGGTTTTTTTTTCCTTTAAATGATGTGCTATTATAGCGCCTTATATGCTTTTGTGGCACATGGTTGTAAACAGCTAACCCATCATCGAGTTTTGCTTTTTATTTCAAACAGGGTAAGTATTGTAATCTCCAGAATTTATGTTTCAAACAAACTTTCTCTATTTGCACAGGTATCCTCAACCATTGCACAATCAACTGATTCAGATTCTTTACAGCCAAGTAAGACATCTGCACTATTTGAATTTGCAGAGGTAAGAATTTCCCTGTTCTTTCCTTGTCTAAAATGTGATGGTAAGCAGTGCTACACATTTGCTAGGTATAACTTTGGAGAGAATCTAGCAGTTGAGTTCTAGTTCCAGAAACTCAGTCCTGGCTCCATATCTGCTCCAGAATATATTCATCCTGTGTGGAACTGTGGCAGTAAATGGGTGTTCATGAGTTTTTCCTTTTAAAAATAAGTTTGCAGGTTTATAAACATAAGTTCTATATTTAATGTTGTAAACTATTTGGATAAAATCTTTATTTTGCAAAATAGATTTCAATATACGAGACATGCTTGATACACTAAAAGCCTAGTACCAGTTGCATGCTTGTAAAAAGCCTGTTTTTAATTGACTTGAACCAGAGAATGTGTTCTCTGCTAGTAGAGGGGAAGGAGGGGGGTTTGTCTTGCTCCTCCTTTCAGTCTTTGTAATTTGATCTTTCTACTTCTATCTGTTACATCTGTAAAATGAGCCTCCCAAAAAAATGCTGCTTTTGTTTTTGAGCTTGACAAATGATGGCTGCAGGTGGTGAATATGAAATAATCTTCACAAAAAACTTAATATTTACCTGATTAAAAAGAAAAATATTTTTCAACATGCAATTTTTTTGTATTTGAATATAAGAAATACAAAAATATAAAAAAATTACTATGCATTCCTTTTTAAGGGCTAGTTCACACCAGCCACAATGCGTTGTGGGGCCAGAACTTACTGGATCACATTACAGCTGGCTCACTTTGTTTTGTGGTGGGAGGGGGCGTGGTGCTGCATTGAAGTCATGGCACCGCAGCCACGCTTTCCGGCCATAATGCGATCGCCCGCACCGGAACGTGTGACACATTAGTGCCTGCGTTCCAGTCCGGTGCAGTCAGAAAAAATTGTGCTTGCAGCATTTTTTCTGACTGCATCGGACCGGAAAGCAGGCACTGATGTGCCACGTGTTCCTGTGCGGCCGGTGGGCGTGGCTGCGGTGCCGTTGACTTAAATGCACTGCCACGTCCCCTCCCATCCCCAAAACAAAGTGAGCTGGCCGGAATGCGATCCAGTGCGGTCCGGCACCAATCGGGCCCAAACGCACTGTGGCTGGTGTGAACTAACCCTGAGTATCATTGCTGTAGTTGATAAAATCGATAAGAGAATGTGTCTTTTTCTTTGTTTTTTTTGCTTTATTTTAAGTGCAGTGGTTTTTTTTCTTCTCCATTGAGGGACACAGGAAGTCTTCAAATTCGGGTGATAATGCCTTTTACAGAAGGATTGGACACTGGCAAAAAAAAACTGTAGGCCAGCCCATGATAACCCCTTGTACTACCAGTATGCTTCAGGTTTTGGTAGTGTCCTGGAAAAGGACTAACCTTATTTGCTGTCCACAGATTGGCTTTTGGAGTGCTGTGCCCAGACCCTGCTGGACTGGATGTTGCAGGGCTAGCCTGTATGTGACCTTCGGGCACTGGGTTCTGCGTAAGATGCTTTCTAGACTCCATTCTGTTAACAAGTTAGGAGCCCTTTCCAGAGCCATTGCCTCAGCGCTTCCCATGTCTCTAAGGACTCTTTTATAAACACTCTGATTCCAGATTCATACTCTCCAGTTTAGGATTCGTCTGATTCTTCACTTTTGTATGAGGGTCCTGGGTCTGACAGTATCGTCCCTCGGGGATGTCCCATTTACCTAGTTTCACTCCAGACCTCTATAACACAACTTTCTATCGTTGCGGGAAATGGCAGTCCAGTTGTTTGACATTTAAAGACCAGGCTTTCTTCAGCTTGATGGCTAAGGAATCAAGCTCTGCATTCGGATAAGTCCTTTCGTCCCATCTCCTATTCATCATCCTGGAACTTCAGGCAATTTGGTTGTCTACAGCATTGAACCATCCTGTTAGAGGGTCATCTGGATTCAGTTAGACCAGGGGTCTCAAACTCAATTTAGTCGGGGGCCATTGGACACATGTTTAGTCGCGCGGGGGCCGCTACTATATACGGTACCAGTGTTAATGTCTGCATATGTTACAAGCGGCAACTGCCACCCATTCAAATTAATGATCGGGTGACTGCTGCTGCATGTACACGCCTGCACACCACATGTAATCATATGTGAAAGGATTACATGCAGTTAGGAATCTGTCACTATCAGTGGTTACACAATGGTTTAACCAGGGATAGTGATTGTTTTTGTAACTGTATGTAATCATATAACATAACATAACATGCGGTGTGCAGGCATGTACATGCAGCGGCTGTCACACGATCATTAATTTGAATGGGTGAAAGTTGCTGCATGTAAACATCAGATTAGGGATTTGGTCCCGCGGGCCGGTACTTTGAGACCGCTGAGTTAGACAATGCCATTACAGTGGAGTTCTACAACCATTAGACAGCAACAATAACTCCTAACTGCGGCAATAGATGAACAACAGATCACTGCAGTGCAATGGTTAAGTACTCATTTTCTTCTAGGGTTTAAAATAACAAAGATATACTCACCCGAGCCTTGATCCTGCCTGGACTGTAGACCAGTCCCTGCAGCCTCTATGCCCCTCCACTCCAGAGATGGAATGTTCATCAGCGTCCTCACACTAGCGCATCCTTGGACCACCGGGGGGGAGGCTGTAGGGACCAGTCTAGCAACCAGATGGGAGATCAAGGTTCGGTGAGCATATCTTTGTTACTGTAGACCCTAGAGGAAAATGAGCACTTAACCCTTCCAGTTTGGGGTAGCACCACTGCAGCACTAGTACTATCAAGGGTTAAGTTTCTGCTCTTGCTATCTTATTTCTGATATTGTTGGCCTCTCATTCTTTGATTAAAACGTTTGCACAGGGAGTCTACCATGTGGCTCCCCCTGTTTGTTCCCCTGTGACTCCTTGGGATCTGAATCTGTTTATCTCTATGCTTTAAAAACAGCTGTTTGAACCCATTAGAGACATTCTTCTGTCTACACTCACCCACAAGGTGGTGGTCTTTGTAGCCATCACCTCGACAAGATAAGTGTCTGAACTGATGTCATTATCCTGTAAGCAGCTCTTTTTCATCTTACATAGAGACAAGGTGGTGTTGATACCTAGAACTTCCTATCTAAAGTATTCTCTGCCTTTCGCCTCTACCAGGACATAGATAGTTATTCCATACCTCTGACCAGCTCCAGTTTACTCCATTATCTGCATGTGGTTTGGGTTTTGAAAGTTTCTTTCTTAGCCCATTTCTTTCAGTGATTCTCTTTTGAGTAATTCTGGATGACCCTTGGAAGGGTTTACTGGCTTCTCCTTCTATTATTTCTCAGTTTCTTAGACAGACCATTATGCTAGCTTATTTTCTCAAGCACTGGGTTCCACCCTTTCCCGTCAAGGCGCACTCTACTAGATCAGTGGGTGCTTCTTGGGCTTTTTAGCATCAGGCAAATGTTTCTCAGATTTGTAGGGCTTCTATCTGTTCACACTTTCTGTAAGTCTATCAAATGAATGTTGAGGCCTCGTCTGATGACCGCTTCATTCATAAGGTCCTATAGGCAGCAATTTAAGCTTCAGGCAGTCCCCAGTTTTCTGTTGTTTTTGTGGTCCTGTTAGGTTTTGATTTTCCCACCCCCCAGATGGTCCGCTTTTCAGTGTCCTGAATATAAGAGACTTCCTGTGACCCTTAATAGACTTTCAAAAAAGGATTTTACGGTGAGTATTACATTTCTATTTTATCGTGTATTAAAGGAATATATTGCAGTTAAAGTATACAGAACACTAAATCTACAAGACAAAACTTTATCATTTTCCTATGATGGGGAGAGAAAAGCAAAAACTGGATTTGTTTCTACAAATGTAATTACATACTGCCCTGTTATTTGTTTGTGCCGGTTTCAGTTCCAAGCTCTGGGGCTCGGCTCCATTCTGATTTTGGATAGGAACTACATCAGCTGCAGCCACTCATCTGCAGGTCTGCTGCAGCTTACAGATCTCATTTAGGAAAGGTGACACGTTCTGCACCAACTGCCAGCCATGGAGCCAGCTCCAAGCTCTGGAACCAGTGATTTGTCAACTCTAGTATATATCTTTTTAACATGCCTTTTCTTGTCATTGCTGAAAATGTTACGCCCTGAAAGTCCAACTCCACTACAGCCAAAATGTTTTACAGAAAAAAAGAGTAATAGAAAGAGTAATAGAAAAAGTGGAGGGTAAAAACGTATTTTTTGCGGTTTTGGCTGATGAGGAGATTGGCCATTTCTTTTTATCCCTAACACCATGACAAGAAATAAGAGGACTGGGGTGCACTTGGAAATTAAGGCACATATAGCAATAAAAAAACTCAGAGGTTCTAACCCTTCTATGTGCTAAAAAGAGCTATTTTCTGTCTCTGTAACCTATTGTTGAGATCTCCTTTATTGCAAGCTCAGTTTTTGATAATGTGTATTTCATTCAGATTTCTTCCAGTGCACCAAATTTGGAGGTCTCGTCTCCTAAGCGATGTGATAAGTCTGCACTGTTCCAGTTTGCTGAGGTACGGGATTTGCAACCATATCATATGTATCGTTTTTTTAAATGTGTAAATGGATAAACACTAGGGATTCACCGAAATTTCGGCTGCTGAAACATTTTGGCCAAAAATGCTGACAGTACCATAATGGCCGAAAATTCAGTGCATCTCTAGCTTCTCTCCTTCCCATTGCACTGCCGGGCTGTGTCCCCTCCATTGCCCACTGCTTTCGCCCACCTCTTTCGGCAGAGGTAGCGGGGATCCGGGGGGGGACACAGACTGGCGCCCAGCAGGGGAGGAGAGAAGCTTTCAGAATGCTGTGTGTGCAGGAGACAGCTCTCGCAGGAGGCCGAGCTGTCCTCCCAAACAGCCCGGCTCAATCCATGATTATTCAGCAATGGGGAATGGCAACCAGCAATCACGGATTGCTGAGATTTGTAGTCTTGCCATTCTCTGTTGCTGTATAATCGTTGATTATACAGCAACAGAGAATGGCAACCTGCTATAGAGGACTACAAATCCTATGAGGCTATGATTATACAGCAATTATACAGGGGTGCTTGCAGATCGCACCAGGGCTGTATTTGGGTCTCACCAGGGTTGTGTTTGGATCTTACCAGAATTGCATGCACACTGCACCAGGGCTGCGTTTGGGTCTCACCAGGGCTGCGTGCGGGGCTCTGTGAGCGGGTGCCGGACTCTGCATGCGGCTGTTGGGGTCACTAGGGCTGAAAGGGTGGGATCCAGACTCCAGGGCTGTGCTGGTGGGTGTGGGGCTGTCCTGTGATGTGCCAACGCGGGGAAGGAGGAGGAGGCAATGTGCAGCCGGACAGGCACGATCAAAGACGGCTGCCTGAGGACACCAGCACGCTCAGGCAGCCGAACTTCCTGAAACATTTAAAGGGCCAGTGTCTGCCTTTTTAGTATGGGGGTACAAGTACTCCTGAAAATGCCTTGCATAGGCCCTTAGATATAGGGGTTGCAGAAAAAGAGATTGAGGACTCTGTGTCCTCAATCTATTTTTCTGTCTTAAAAGGGAAATATAAGGGGTCTGTTTAGACTACTGATATTTCCCTAAAGCCTCTTACAGTAAAGTTAAAAAAACAGGAAAAATAGAATGTAAGTTTTTAAAAAGGTTGGGGGAAAAAAAACGTCAGTTTCGGCCTGACAATTTTATTTTTGGTTCCATTTCGGTGCATCCCTAGTAAGCACCCATGTTGAGAACAAAGGATATTGCTTTTTATTTAATGGTTCTGTTCAGCTGCAAATTAAGAAATGTAGTAGAGTTGAAATAAACACAGTATTGTTACCAAAAAAAAATCTATATAAATATTGTGTTCCTGTAAATTTGTATAAATGTGAGTTTGTGAGACTTTATTTTTTTTTTTCCTTGTTCATAGAGGAGCACAGGAATTCAGATTCTTTTGGGGATACTGCCAGAGGAGCTGCCAGCACTTCTAACTACATTTTTTAATAACTTTTTCTTTTCTCTTCTTTGTGGAGTTTTTTTCCACAATGACTCAAAGATTCCGTGCTACACGGCTACTTGAGCTGGTCTCTATGTACCAGCTATCTGGATCATCAATTTCTTAGCACTAGCTTTAAAGGCCTTACCCAGACCCCACTGGACTGTACTTTACATGACTAGTCTGGAATGTGACATTATGGCACTTTTCTGACCTGTGTACCGTGTTAGCTGCAGAGCACTTTCTAGGTCCAGAGCCATGGCACAGCCCCAGGTGCAACCTTACCTCTGGAGACTTACTTTTGGGAGTATGGCCAGTGGGGGTGAAGCACCAGGAGCTATCTTGCTATAGCACTGCTGGGCACCTTGCACATTTCCCACCACTGCCAGTTTTTACGGTAGTAGAGGTTAATCTGAGGGACTGAGCACATCTGCTAAGTGGAATGTCGCTTTCTGTCCTGCTATTAAGCGTAGAGGAAGCATCATCCTGCTCCTGCTTTGCAAAGCATCTTGTGAAATGCGAATCTCCAGCTTGTTTCTACAGCCCTCCCATGATGACCTGGTCACCTCCACCCATCCGACCCTCATCCGCACCACCTGCTTGGGTTTGTGAGTAACTAAAACCTTGTCTCGCAGTTGGACCTACATGCATTGCTGCCACAACACTGCAGCATGTCTTTTATATAGACACAGAGGGGACAGTCCCTCTACTGTGGCTGACACCAGCTCAAATTCTCCTAATGGTTCCGATAGGCATTTACTTGATATCCTTTCAGGGAAAGGATGCCCGCAGATTGGATTCCAGTGACCCTATAGGTATAGGGTCTGCATCATTGGAGTCTGCCCTAGCTTTATCAAGTGATGCAGAGTCCCCTACCCTGGCTTCTAGGGCATCTACTGCAGTCTCTCTGGACTTTGTGGCCATACTCACCTGATTCCTCTTGGATACATACCACAGAAGTTCTAAGCATGCTTCAATGCCACCCCTGCAGAACCTAGCTCTGACTTTTCAGGGGCCTTAGCACAGACCAGGCCACCAGTCACTGTAACTATCTTTAACTCAGAATCATAGTCCCAACATTCTGTCTCTGAAGATACTTTTTTTGAGGCACTGCAGTCTCCAGCTGTCACCTTAGAATTACAAGGGGTTGTTTCTACCCTTATTGATGCAGCACATACTACCCTGCATGTGGAGAATCTGAAAGCAACCAGAAGGGTGCTGGTCCTCACCTGCAGGTGTGTCAGAACTGTTTCTCCCTGAGCGGGAATTTGTTAAATTTGTTACACTGTGCAACTGTCAGTGTATCAAGGAAAACACTTGCCAGGTAGAGGGCAGGGTAGAGGATTCTGTTGATCAGCAGTTGTTTTCCCTTTTTTAGTCCTAGGCTTGCTCTGGCAGGTTCTGCCTTTTGATCCTGTGTTGGCTGTGACCTTACTCTGCCAAACTGTGGCAACATTTTGGTAGATCCCTCAAAAGTGACCTCTCCACTGTCGGGGTAGACTTTTTAATTGAACGAGTGGACGAGATGTCTGGAGCCTTAAGCTATGATAGCTTCAAACATCTAAAGTACTGTCCCTCGTGGGTCTGTTGTCCATACAAATGCAGAAGTACCTTTTAGGATCCCATGAGAAACTAGAGCATGCTTCTGTTTCGACACGGGGAGAATTTGGCTAAGACTCAACCTTCTTCGTCCACTTTTCCCCTATTTACAAGTATGGGGCTGTTTGTGAATCCTTCTAGATTCAATGGAAGCTTGTACTAAAGGCATTTAGGTGCAGAGCCCCCTTTGCTATTTCCCTGCTCGCTGCACTCACAGTTGTGCCTCCTGCTTTCCTTCATGCTTTGGATTTCTTACTTCTTGCTTCAGACCTTTTTTTAGCTAGGGTTCCGGAGCTGGGCCCCATCCAGGCCACAGCTTTTCTTTCTGTCTCAAAGAATTTCCCTTTCCTTGGAACATGCTGGTTCCCCAGTGGTACTCTGTACCTGGTCACCCTGTTGGGGATCTGAATTAGCAGTGTCATACATGTGCACCTCATACGCTTCAGATACTGGTTTCTCCTTTCTCTTCGGATGTTGGGGGACCCTTTTTATTAGGACATCTCCCTTTCCACGCTTTCTTCTCAGCTTACCTCAGCTATTGCCTTCGCTATTGCAGATTAAGTTCCTGAGGTAGTCCGTCCTCGGTGTGTCTACACAGCTTCACCTTTAGGTAAGGACTCTGGCCCTATATCCCAGGGTGTTCTCTCCTGGGAGATTCTTCTATCCCTAAGCTGCCTTTTGGTCTTGATTCCCGTGAAAGAGTTTAATGCTTCTATGTGTGCCCCAGACCCTGCTCAGCAGCTCAAGCTCATCAGAGGAGGACCCTGTGCATCCCCGAATGGTTGGTAGGCAAAGCACACAAGTCTTCTGCTGTAGGTAACTCCAGACAGGCATGGAGAACCCCTTATTGACTTCAGGGCACTCGTCCAACTAAAGTTAGGTCCCCTTTCTCTGACAGACTTTTGGAGCCTGTTGAGGAAGAGCCTTAGGTTTCCTCCTTTGGCTGGCCCACAATGTTTTGGAATTGCCATTGCCCTTTCCTCCTGTAGATGGCAGTATAGGTGTGAATCTCAATTCCTGTGCCCTTTAATGGACTCTAAAAGGGTTTTACAGTAAACACAAAATTCGTATATTTTATTAATGGGTCAGAAAGAAACTTAATCCATTTTTGTTTTGTTTTTTTGCTATAGATATCATCAAATACGTTGCAGGTTAACAGTCCAGATCCTCCGAAATGTTGTGAAAAGCCACCCCTCACCCATTTAGCAGAGGTAATCTAATACTGGGAGTGTAAACGAAAAAAAAAAACAACTCCAGCCATTTTTTGATAAAGTGGGAATGTTAAAGTTCTGTGAAGTTTTTATTGTGGTCTGTGTCCCTGTTGAGGAGATTTCCTCATTTCCTTTTCCTTTCCCACTTTCTCCAAAACTAAAAGTACTTTAAGGTATATAATTAGGGATGTAATTCAAGCTAATAAATAACTGTTCCATGCAAGATAATAAATAGGGATGCACTGATACCAAGTAACGTACTTAGTACAAGTACAGATACTTTTCGTGCTTAGTTAGGAGGCAGTTGTGACAGTTTTTCTAAAACACTAATGATTTCAGGACAGTGGTGGAGCGCCAGAGCCCAGTCCCAGATGCAATCGCTGCAACCCTGATAGTTTCCATGAAAATGCCAAGTATCGGCACTGGTATCGGTGCATCCCTAATAATAAATGATGGCATGAGTAATACAACATATATTTAACCGTATTAAAAACATGTTTTCAGATATTAATATATTTCATTGGTACTTGGCTACCATGCCATGGTCCACTGCCAGTCCCGTAACTGGGCACAGAAACATTCAAAAACACAAACAAAAACCCATTATTCTCACCATCTTTTCTTTTATTATAAATGTATCTTTCACCTTTAAAGTTATTTCACCAAAACTAACCTCAAGTAATCCCCAGACTTTTTCTGTGTTAAATACCAATTATTTTATGGGCTTCTCAGTATAAAAATGAAAATAAAGGTATGTTAATTTTCTCTCAGGGGCCAAGACACCCTAATTAACACGGCTTTTTTAGTCTTCACCAACAGTCCACTCTTAACTTAATGGACTTTTAATTTCTTAGAGGCCCTGGGGTACTACATGTGCTTATCTTTCTGCTCAAACTTAATTTTAGTTATAGATCATTTGTGACTCCTCCTTATTTTGTTTGGCCTAAAATGTGGAATATAACATGGGTGCAAAAAATGAAAAAAGGGCCTCAGTCATGAAGGGGTTAAACCATTTTCAAAACTTGCATAGTAATCTTTGTAAAGTTTCTTTTCCATATCATCATTGCATTGTGTTAGCCATATATTAACGTATCTCAGTACTTTTTTTTTTCTTCATTGTATGACTGATGGGTCTGTTGGTTTTGAGTGTAGATTTCCTCAAGCTCATCACATTCCGATTCATCTACATCAGCAAAGCAGTGTGGGACATCAGCATTGTTTCAGCTTGCAGAGGTAACAACCATAACATTTTTCAGCACCTCCTTAATACTTGGGGAATACAGCAGGGATACTCCGATTAAACCCTTAAGAGAAGCCTAGTTATTTATGCCCACACATGTACTTTATGTATCTTCAGAATGTTGTTTTCCAAATTGGTGTCCTGGTTAATTATAATATAACATACATCATAGGTAAATATATTCCATATGTTGTCATGTTTACCAAAGGGATGGACAGAAGAGCTCTCTTAAAATTAAAGTCTTAAATCAAACAAAAATGTAAAAAAGTTAAAGGTGTATTATTCATCTTGGCATAATAGAGAGTGCCATGCAAATTGCTTTTTGTACTTGGGTCAACTATGCAGCCAGAGCTGCTGGTTTATAGTACTGATACAGCCTTATTTTGTAGCCATTTATTCCAATACAGCTGTTTCAGGAGTGTTGGTCATCATCGGTACCGTGTGTGGGAAACTGTGGCTTCTATGGATAAGGGTTTATGGAACAAAGAGTTAGTATGACAATACAGGTTATGGTGAGGTGGAGTAAAAGGAACCAAAAAGTCTCTCCCTGAACCAGTTTTAAAAGTCATGACTCTTTTAAAAAAGATCAACTCTGCTTCATACTGCTTTAGTGGAATGGTTATTTGTTCCTTTTACTCCGTCTCACCATAACTTGTCAGGTTATACTAGTGATTTGTTCCAATATATACCAAGTATCCAATGCATTATGCACCACAAGGAACAAAAGATTTCAGGAGCATTTTGAGAACCTGAGATTGAGGCAACCGTTGTCAGTGACACAGTTTTACAGTTATCTCTGAAATAATATTGTATCTTTTAGAAAAAGAAAATTTTACTTTAGCAATATTTATATTTTTAGCTATTTGTATTTTTTTTCTTCATCTGATGTCCATTTCTTTGTAGATGTGTGTGGCGTCAGAAGCAGTGAAAATGGACATTTCAGAAAATATCACTCCAGAGAAATTGAAAGCAGGGGTAACAGATGAAGGCATGATTTGCAGCAGCCTGAAGGAATGCACTAATGTCTCTCAAGAGGAAGGTTTTAGCAATGTTAAAATTAACAAACATTACTCACCTTCCCCAGAGCATTTGGACATGCACTATGATGGACTTCTAAAACAAGAGAGAATTAAAAAGAAAAAGAAGAAAATCAAAACAGACAATGATGAGAAGGAGTCTCCAAAGAAGAGCTGTAAAAGGAGGCAGTCCTCAGAGTCAGATATTGAAAGTGTCATGTACACAATAGAGGCAGTTGCAAAGGGAGACTGGAGTGTTGAAACACCTTCAGTTTTACCATGCAAAAAAGTAAGTTCAGCTGCTAGTCCAAAACATAACTTATCTGAATTTAAGCCAACCAAGAAAAAAGTGAAATCGAAAGAGAAGAAAGAAAATGATAAAGCTTTCGAGACTACCAAAGACTTGATAAAACCAGAGCCCATAAATACAATATCTACCATGGAATCACCTACTGAAGTACCGGAAGAGATAAAGGAAGAACCACTATCTCCTGCAGAGGACATACCTATGTTATGTATGTCAGAAATACTCAAAACTGAAGACTGTGACATTAGCAAAAAAACTGAGGCCTGTGGGTCAAGGAAGTCGGAGAGGGCCGGTAAAGGAGCTCTCTACAAAACACTTGTATCAGAAGGGATGCTGGCAACTTTACGGGCCAATGTTGACAGAGGTAAGCAGCAGGTCAAGTTGTGCACCCGGCTTCATTCTCTTCATCTAACAGGTGCTTGGAGTGTACACTGCACTGCACATATGCCTCAGACAATGTACACAAAGACAAAACATTGCTAACAGACAGTACCAGCTAGAATGTCATTGCTGATAGCAAAGGCTCTGGAGCTGTCATGCTGATCTTGGCTTTACCACCTAATTAAGTAAATCACCTGCAGCAAACACATTACCAGTAAAGCCTAAAGACTTCAATGTGATTTTGCACTTGCTACAGAATTTTACTGCTCCAGGAAGAGTTAATTGCCTAGCACCGGCCCCTCCCTTTTTGCACGTCATTGCCTTTTCCTCATCGGGGAGTATCTAGTTACAGTCTTTGTTGGCAAAGCTCCTCCGCCTCTCCCCTTACCTCCCTACATACCCTTTTATGTAAATGCTAGGGAAGAAGCAAAGGGCAGTACTTTAGAGATCACATCCAAGGGGCATCTCAGGGCTTTTGGATGTCTACACAAAGGAGGATTATACAGGTAAATGACCTGCCTAAAATATGTAAATACACATAATTTTATGGGATTTTTTTAAATCAGTGGCCTGGCAACAGGGTCACCTTAAATCTTTTCAAATATTTGATCAACAAAATCTATTTCAGCATTCAGAGAGGTTCACTGGTCTGTGGCATTGTACTTTGTCAAGCATTTGACATGTAGCTGTGAGTTTTTCAGTTGTCTAATGTCTCTTCCTTAAATCTCTAGGTAAAAGAAACCCAGGAAAAGGTGGCTCATCTGACCATGAAGGTTGCTGGAATGATGACAACTGGTCCTTTAGCCAAAGTGGGAGTAGCGGAAATAAGAAACTGAAGAAAGTTAAGCCAAAGGAGGAAGGACCTGTTGGGTATGCAGTCCATATGAGAGTTTTCCTTATGAACTAATGCAGTGTTTTTCATTAGGAAATTATTCCTTGCAGGATCTCCCACCAGAACTGGCATTTTGAAGTCCTTTCATTATTTATATTATTATGCAGTACAGAGAAAATATCCTACCACAGTTGATCACATTTCATATTAAGAACTAGCCCAGACCACTAGTATTAAGCACTATATATTTGGCTTTCCCATAGATCAGTGTGGGACTGATATGTTTAGGCAATGTAAATTTGAATGCATTAGGTAGGTCACCTTGGGCTTGGTAGGTGATGGTTTACTATCTGGGGTTAACTTGGTTAAGGGTTACATTTAAGTTATGTATAGCAGTTAAATGTGTTTTGGTTAAGGATTAAGCAAAGAAGAAGGGAATGGCTTAAGTATTAACTATCCTAAGATTTAACTCTTAAGAGTTTCTTTTCACAGCAAGGTTTGGTTTAGCTGGTAAAGTGTAAAGGTGAGGTTACCTGTTAGGGTAGGTTAGGTGATTCGTTCATTTGCAGTAGGGATGCACCAATACCAATTTTTACCGCTTTACAAGTACAGTGATTTGTTTACTAGCATCCCGAGGTAGCGTGGGCCCGGCTTCCGGGCCAATCAGGAAGTCTGCTTCACGCTCCCTTGTGACACTGCAATGCAGCCTGGCTTCCTGACCAATCAGGAAACCAGATTATAACCTGCCACCCGGCTTCCTGATTGGTCAGGAAGCCAGGCTGCCCTGCAGTGTCACTAGGCAGCTTGAAGCCGGCTTCCCTGCCAATCAGAAAATCGTGAGGTTGGTCATCACCAGATGCCCAGCTTCCTGATTGGCCAGGAAGCCGGCTCCATGCTCCCTCGCGGCACTGCCGGTCAGAGGGAATCTCCCTCTAACCAGCAGTTCCGGTATCAGGGTAAGCATGAGTATGGAAGGGTTAAACCCCCTGTCCGTTTTTATGCTACATGTGCCCCATTTGGAATATTTCCTTTTACAGAGACGGAACAGGTGGTAAGGGAACCCCTCCAAAATGTTTTGACAATTATCACCAGAACAGTTGTTCCCATTGGAAGTCTGGCTCTCCTACAGAAGAGAGTCGCTTGCTCTCCACCTTACGCACAAGGTGAATGGATGAGGGAAGAGGAGGGTGGAGAACGAGCGATTTACTGTATAATAGACAGACCTGGCAGTCTCCGTGCTGAAAGGTTAGCACATACAGTAATGTCCAAGATGAATGAAAGTGTTTTACCTAGTACAGCATCTTCCACACATTGCACACACCATTAGAGGTAATTTATTTTTACATAGCAAATGTAAATTCCCCGAGTTAAGGTTTCAGTTTTAGGTTGATGAGTGTTAGCGATAGGTTGGGGGTGAGGGGCATAGATTAAACTTCCCATTATCTGGCATCCACAGGGATTGGCAGATTCCAGATAAATGTAGTTTCTGGTTTTTGAGAGTTACTATTAAAAATAGGTCTAACTTATGTTATACCCTATACTATACCATACCATAACATAAACTCTGTATTGACTTCATATTAATATTGAAATGCAGTTATAAAAAACAAATTAAAAGACACATTTAAAGTGAAATTAAAGGATATTTCCCCCTTAATGTTAATGTAAGGACTTACCTTTAATCATGCCTCTCAATCCGATCATCTTCTTCTTTAGTGTAGTTTTCAGATGTCCCTCCACCGCTTGTGCGTGTCTCCAATCCAGCGCTGACTCCTCTGTCCTCCTCTTCTCTGATGTCCCACGGAATCTGTGCGGCTGCACACTGCTCCATAGACTTACCTTGTGTCTCTCCTCATCTCCCGGCCGAACATCTGAATTGCGCATGCCCC